GATCTGCTGAAGTAGTTTTTGAATAAACTTCTGTTATTGCTTCATTAGAATTTCCATATCCGACATATGACATTTGTGATCTTGAACTTCCTTTTGAAGGCTTTCATATCCTGACCTTCCAGGTTTGCAAACTTGTGATGCTTGTCTTGATACAAGAGTTATGTCACGCTTGAAACCATATTTTTCATACCTCTCACTTGACAAAACTTGAGTAAATTTCTTTATCGGCAGCATAGTCAAGTTCTAAATCGCCCTCTGGTAGTTCACTTAAACGAGCATCGCGAGTCTTGATCATTTGTTCCAACATTAAGTGAAGTGTTATAAACTTTTAAGTTAGAATAAAAAAAATACAAAATCTAACGAAATGATAAAGTGTTTAGTAATTCTTACATGATCTTTTTTTGCTCTCTCAATTGTTCATCCACGTGATTCAATCTAATGAGTATTCTTAAAGTCTTCAAAGTACACTTTTAAAGTATTTGAGGCAGAACTCGAATGTGTGTTCTACAAAGAAATTAATATTACACATTAATTATTGAATACAGAAAAAATATGACTTGAGTTACTTGCACCAGCCTTATCAGACGTGAAAAAGTAATGCAAGTTGACAAGAAGACCACGTTACAGAAGACCACGTTTTCTGTTCTTCTTCTTCGTCTGCGACTTCGAAGGGTCAATTACTTGCTCCAAAAGCTAAAAACGTAAACTGAACTTTCCGGTGTGTCTCCTCTCAATTTTTCGGTTTCCGATGTGGGTTTTCCTTCATAATTTATTTTTGCGACGAAATTGCAATGCACGCGCTTTCTGTTTTACATACCATATTTTCTGTGATCCTTCCTTTTTTTTTTTTTTGGATTTGTGGGTACCAAAATTATTGATTTGGGTATTGAATTTTCCCATTCATGGTGTGAAACTGTTTGGTTTTGGAATAAATATCGGATTATATAAGTGGTTTTTATCAAAGGAACAGAGTCGTAGAAACCCCACAGGTTGTGTACTCAGTTTAGACGGATTAGTTTTCTAGTACCCATTTGCACTTCTCTCTTACATATATATATATGTATCTATATTTTTGTCTTTATTGCAAATTTTTTGTTTCATGTATTGTTGTTGTTGATTTCCTAAGCTGTCTCTAGGTTGTATTTCAATATAGAGAATGCTATGTCCTAGTGCCGGTGTTTCTGAGGCCGATCTTGTGCGCTTAAATTATACTAAATATTATGCTTAGTACGTCACGGTAAATGATGACTTTTGAACTCATTTTTTATTGGAGAATTATGTAGTAAAGTATGAAAAAAAAATACTGGTAAACATAGTTATGAACTGTCCGATCACATCAAAATTACGGGCTTGATGCAAATCTAATGTGTCAAACTCTGCCTATCGAAAGCATTTTTTCTCTCATCCTACCGGAAATTTTTATTATTATTATTTTCTAAATTACTATCTTTGGTTTCTATATGGGGGGGTTTATGAAGAAACTTTCTTAGAATGTTGTTGTCAAATAGTGGGTGCAGGCATACAGCTCACAAAGTATATCCATAAATCGAAGATATACGTGGGCCTTCAGTTTGTTGAGTTTTTCATTGTTGATAAGGCCGAAGACTTGATATAAGGTTGTTAATTTATGTACAAATTGGAACTAGACAAGAAATTATTATGCTCTACTTGTACACTTTCCAATTTTGAACTTGAATATAAAACTTGACTTGTTTGGGTCGTGGCATTCTATCTTCCTGGTTCTTGCTTTCTTCTCCTTTGGTTTGAGGTTTTAGTATTAGCTGTAAGCTTCTCCCTCTCTCTCTCTCTCAAGTCTCAGATTTTTCTAAACAAGGTAACTTTAAGGGGGTAGTATGTTCTTTGTTTTTACTTTTTGATATTCTGTCTAGTTTAACTAGTTTGTTCTATTTCTTTTGGCTAACCTAATCGTGACGGTATTGGTGACTTTGTCATGTTTTTCCTCATTAGTTTCCTTGATACTCTTAGTTTTAACTTTTAAATTTCTCCTAGTCTCGCTGATCTATTTACTTCACAGTCCTTTTATCTTTGTTTCTTTTTCTCTGTGTCTCTCGCACACGGTCAACTTTATATAGGTTTGAGTTTGAGGATACTTGGTTATTGGTAGTTGTGAAGATGATATGCTGTTGATGTTGGAATAAGGATTTTTGTAGACTGTTTTAGTGATATTTCATTTTGTGATGAGGACTTTATAGAGTGCTTTCAACAATTTTTGGAGGGAAAAGAAAAGGAGTTATAAAGTATTGACTGTATTTGCTACGATCACATAGAAGGAAAGATGGGTAACTTGTTATGTTGCGTACAAGTTGACCAATCCACGGTAGCTATCAAAGAGAGATTCGGCAAGTTTGAGGAAGTACTTGAGCCGGGGTGCCATTGCCTGCCATGGTTTCTTGGAAGTCGGCTTTCTGGACATCTCTCTCTTCGTCTGCAGCAATTGGACGTGCGTTGTGAGACCAAAACTAAGGTTTGTTAACTTCCCTAACTTGAAGTGGGAATAATTTATACTTCGTGTTCATAGGTCGTCTTTTTTTCCCCCTAGAGCATGACTTTTCTTTAATTTCTATTAAGCATGTATGTCTGGATTGTCATTTGCTTGTAACTTCAAAATTGTCTCTTTAGGACAACGTGTTCGTCAATGTTGTTGCGTCGATTCAATACCGTGCCCTGGCAGACAAAGCTAATGAAGCTTTCTACAAGCTCAGCAACACAAGATCCCAAATCCAGGCCTACGTTTTTGATGGTATAAATCAACATATCCTACTTCATATTTTAGAAATAAGACTGTTTATTCGGAAAGTATCAAGTAATTCCAAAATTTTCTTGATAAATACATGACTTTTGTTATTGCTTAACTGGGATTGCCTTTTCCTCTATTTTAGTGATTAGGGCTAGTGTTCCAAAGCTCAACTTGGATGATACTTTCGAGCAGAAAAATGACATTGCAAAAGCTGTGGAGGAAGAGCTCGAGAAGGTAACTTGCAGAGTATTAAAATTGTATTGTAAAACTTTGGGCTGTAATAACACTATAATCGTAACAATGCTGCTCTTCGTCCAAAATTTCATCCAGGCTATGTCTGCTTATGGCTACGAGATCGTGCAAACACTGATTGTTGACATAGAACCAGATGAACATGTGAAGCGAGCAATGAATGAAATTAATGCCGGTATAGTTCATAAACTGGTTTATCCAGACTCCAATTTTATACTTGATGCAAAATTCCTGTTGAAGTATTTACTTTTCTAACGTTCTCTGTATTTTCCTCAGCTGCAAGGATGAGGGTGGCTGCTAATGAAAAGGCAGAGGCTGAGAAAATCTTACAAATTAAGCGAGCTGAGGGTGAGGCTGAGTCAAAGTATCTCTCTGGACTTGGTATCGCTCGCCAACGTCAAGCAATTGTTGATGGTTTGAGAGACAGTGTGCTTGGCTTTTCTGTTAATGTTCCAGGGACAACTGCAAAGGATGTCATGGACATGGTCCTTGTCACCCAGTACTTTGACACCATGAAGGAAATCGGTGCTGCCTCGAAATCGTCTGCGGTGTTTATCCCCCATGGACCTGGCGCTGTTCGCGACGTTGCTAGTCAAATTCGTGACGGGCTTCTCCAGGCTTCTCACCACAACCAGTAGTTGTTCTACTTCTCAAATCTTCTTTCCATGCTTGGTTTATGCGCTGGGTGTTCTCTCTTTTAGGAAATGATATGATAGGTTCTAAGTTCTTATTCCTGGTTGCGAATTATGTTCATATATCTACGATGGATTTTTAGGTTTAAGGATTGAAGTTGTGAGAACTAAGTTTGACGAGTTATAGTAGATATTTGAATCATGTGCTCTTTTCCACTTCAAATATGTGCTCATACCACTAGAATTTGCTTACACTCCTATATCGGTCAATAAAAAGCTTACCGAAGAATATATATATATATATATATATAGACATAGGCTATACGGTCCGTCGGGCGGATCAGTTCTTCCACCACACAAATCTTACAAAAACTCGATTTTCATGCTTAAATTACCTAGACTATATAGATTTTAATTTGTTTACTTTTTCACTCTGAACACATAGAAAGAAGAATTGTCTCAATCACAGTTGAAATAAATATTTTATAGTAGTTTCAAGCTTGAGTTTTTATAGAAATATAAGAGAAAAAAACAGTAAACAAATGTGTTATTGGGTAAAATATTAGGCGTTACTGTCACTCAACTAAATGTTACAGCCCATTTGATAACCTATTTACCATTGACACAAGTAGCGTGTCACATCATTATCAATCCACTAATTTAAACTGTTGAGATCAATCTGAATAGTCTTAATAGAGTGAATGTTTCGGTCCATCAAAGTGTAGAAACAACGCAAATGCCCCGGAGGTGAAAATCTATAAAGTCTTATGCATAGAATGTCTAATTATCTCATATATATATATATATTTTACTATGTAGAAAATCGTATACATTGTTTTCTCAATTTTTCACTGTCGACTGTTATCAAAATGCATGTAAAAACTAATCGAGGAAGATTATTGAAATCTTAAATACGAATCAAAATTTAATGTAAAAGGCGGTTATCTCCATATTGTAGAAGGATTATCCGTTTACTATATTTTAGACTTTGAGAGCCATAGACCAATATTAGGAATCCTCCTTTGGTCCATTGTTGAGACTTGAATAGCATCATGTGCTTGTGGGCTTTCTCTAATATGAGGTTTAAAGACCAAATTTTTAATATTAAAATGTATTTAGTAGCAAAAAGTATAAGTTTCAGGTACTAAATATTTAGTGGCAAATAACTAATTTATTGATATCAAATTTTTTTGGTTACCAAAACTGAGATAGATTTATATACCTGTATTTTTTGAAAAAATATATATAAATAAAATACCAAATATTAATTTAAAAATCTCTAAATATTTCAATACATATTAGAATCCAAACAAAATACTAAAATAGTCATACTTAAGCAAACCCAAACACTTATGCAAATATTGTACTAGTAAAATCTTAATATTACAAGAATTAAACGCTCTAACAAACTGAGGCCGGTGGTGGCGGTGGCGGTGGCGGAGGATCTTCTCTTCTTGGGACGGAAGATCCAAGATGATCTGCTTAAGTAGTTTTTGAATAAACTTCTGTTATTGCTTCATTAGAATTTCCATGTCCGATATATGACGTTTGTGATCCTAAACTTTTCATTTTGAAGGCTTTCATATATCCTGACCCTCCAAATTTGTGAACTTGTGATGCTTGTCTTGATACAAGACCTATACCACGTTTGAAACCATATTTTTCATACCTCTCACTTGACAAAACTTGAGTAAATTTCTTCCTCGGCATCATAGTCAAGTTCTAAATCCCCCTCTGGTAGTTCACTTAAACGAGCATCGCGAGTCTTGATCATTTGTTCCTACATTAAGTGAAGTGTTATAAACTTTCAAGTTAGAATAAAAAAATACAAAATCTAACGAAATGATAAAGTGTTTAGTAATTCTTACATAATCTTTATTTGCTCTCTCAGTTGTCCATCCACGTGATTCACTCTAATGAGTACTCTTAAAGACCTCAAAGTACTCTCTCAAAGTATTTGAGGCAGAAATGTGTGTTCTACAAAGAAATTAATATTACATATTAATTATTGAATACAGAAAAAATATCACAAGTCATGATTCTTAATAAGTTACTTGCACCAGCCTTATCAGACGTGAAAAAGTAATGCAAGTTGACAAGAAGCTGAATTCTACAAGTAAAAGAACCTCAAACTGCAATAGCCCAATATCAAGAAAGCGCATGGGCACCTAAATGGTTGATGCATGGAAAAGGGAGTCCTAAACATGAATCGATAGTGAGTCTATCGATGAACCCTCAAGCTTTACATCATCAATTCTACTATATTATGGTCACGCCATTTCTACAACAAATTTAAACTACCGTAGACAATCAACGACTCAGTTTGAACATCGACCAATTGTCACCATATGTAAGACTTCCCACTTCGAACATAATAGCGGAATGCTATATATCGCCAGAGACCATACTTACACATATTGAAATGTCAACTTTGAGACCGACCTACTAATTATGACACAAGTCCCATACATTTTCAATTTCTTGGTAGTTGAAATACTAATAAGGACGATTACCAGTGTTGTTGCCATTTAGCTTTTTTCACGAAACAAAGAAACACTACCATAAATATTGCAATGTATACTAAGCATTTTCAGCAATTGGCCTATGTGACTATGTCCTAAGTCCACATACACATGAATGAGTTTCATGCGAGCATATTAACACCACAAGCAATGATACACATCATGATTCATGATTTACCAACACCATCAAGAATGCACTATTCTGTAGGTTCTGTAAAACTAAAATAATTGCTTTGTCCCAGCTTTTTCACTCTTAACAATTGATATTTCAGTTTCATGTCTACTTGTTCACAATGTGCATCAAAAACTTGGAGGAAACAGAGGGGAAAAAACAACAACAACAACAACAACAACAGCAACAACAACAATAAGCAATGAAAAGCCTTTATTCCGGCAATATAGCAATACAACAGCTCAGAAAACTCAAATTTACCTTGGGACGATTATCGACGAAGAACTTTATGAGCGTCTCGATCCCTAATTTCACCGAATTCCAATCCTCCAAATCGCAGCCAACCAAAATCCCCAAGCACTTGACCCCGGCCCTGACGGTCGCCACGGCGAGCCCTTCCTTCTCCCTCTCCCACCAGGACCTTCACGGCCTCGCTCGCCTTCGCGGCATCGATCCCCCGAGGCAGCGCCAGGGGGAGGACGATCGCGAGGAAGGAAAGGAGTGCGGCGACGGCGGTGAGGTCCAGGGGTTGCAGAGAGGACGCGGCCTCGTCGACGGCAGAAATGACGGCGGCAAAGTAGGCCGGATTTGACAAAGAATAAGAAGAATAGGGACCGAATCTGTTCCCCAAGCAAAGAAGCTGTTCCCCAAGGCCGGATTTGATGAAGAATGAGAAGAATAGGAACCAAATCTGTTGATCCGTTCCCCTGCCTCCCCAAGGTCGAATCTGACGGAGAGTGTGGAGAATCCAGACTCCAGAGAGAATAGAAGAAGAAGCGGCGGTGCCTACGGTGCCGGTAGGTGAGGGTGAGGATAGGTGGGGTGGGTCTGGACTGAGAGTCTGAGAGAAGCGGCGCGGTGGAGAAAGGAGACTGAGAGAGAGTCTGGGTCGAGGAGTGAAAAAAATGAGAGAATGGCTAAGCGCGCGAAAATTTGGGAATTTGGGTGGAAACCCCTTTCAAAAGATTTCATGAAATTCTATTTTATATATATATATATATATATCAATAAATATATAAAACATTACCTATTGAAAAATTTATCAAAATTTTTTTTGAGTTTTTTTCAACTAAATTATCAAATACTTGTTATACAAAATATACTCAGATTATTATTAAATTTAATTTAAGACATATTTATAGAAAATTAAAATAAAAAAATATAAGATTTGCTACCAAACATATCTTTTAGTAGTAAAAATTGCCTTTTCGTCACCACAATATGAATTTGATAGTAGAATTATGTTTTCTGCTCCCGAAAATTGATAGCCAAAAATTATGTTTTTTATTACCAAATATTATTTTGGTAGTCAAAAGCATATTTTTTGCTATCAAATTTTAATTTTGTAGCAGAAAGACATATATTAAAAATTTTAAAAAAATACATTTTGATGATAAAAATTATTTTAGGATCATTGTTTAAGTAACATTATAACAAAAAATATAGTTTTGAAGTTGAAATATATTATTTTATGTTAAAAAGTAATCAAATAGTAAGATTATATACTACTTTATGTGGAACATATACTTAATTAACAAGATCACACACACACACATATATATATATATACACATGAACACGTCTCTTGTTACACATACACCAGAGAACTAAATTATCAAACAATTGTTATACAAAATATACTAGGATGATTGTTAAAAGCTAATATAGGACATATTCATGGAAAACTAAAAAAAATACAAGCACAAAATATAAGTTTTAAAGTTTTTATATGATTTGCTACCGAACACAACTTTTGGTAGGAAAAAATGCTTTTTTGTCACCAAAATATGAATTTGGTAGCAGACTCATATTTCTGCTACCAAAATTTAGTACTAGAAACTTATGTTTTTTGTTACCAAACATTGTTTTGGTAGCTGAAAGCATCTTTTTTGCTACTAAATTTGAATTTGGTACCAGAAATACGTATATTAAAAATTAAAAAAATGACATTATAATGACAAAAATTATTTTAGAATCATTGTTCTAATAACATTATAACAAAAAATATAATTTTGAAATTGAAATACATTATTCTATGTTAAAAAGTAATCAAATAGCAAGATTATATACTACTCTATGTGGAACATACACGTAATTAACAATATAACATATATATACACATGAACATGTCTCTTGTTACACCTACACAAAATAATTAAATTATCAAATAATTGTTATACAAAATATACTAGCATGATTGTTAAAACTTAATATAGGACATATTTATGGAAAACAAAAAAAAATAAATACACAAAATGTAAGTTTTAAAGTTTTTATATGATTTGCTACCAAAACAACTTTTGGTAGCAAAAAACGCTTTTTTGTCCCCAAAATATGAATTTGGTAGAAGAATCATGTTTTTTGCTGCCAAAATTCAGTACAAGAAACTTATGTTTTTTGTTACCAAACATTGTTTTGGCAGTTGAAAGCATATTTTTTGCTATCAAATTTGAATTTAGAACCAGAAAGACATATATTAAAAATTAAAAAAAAATAACATTTTAATGACAAAAATTATTTTAGAATTATTGTTCTGATAGCATTATAACAAAAAATATAGTTTTGAAATTGAAATACATTATTCAAAGTTAAACATCAATCAAATAGTAGCGAGATTATATACTACTCTATGTGGAACATATACTTAATTAACAAGATCACATATGTATATACATGAATATGTCTCTTGTTACACCTACACAAAATAACTAAATTATCAAATAATTGTTATACAAAATATACTAGGATGATTGTTGGAACTTAATATAGGACATATTCATGCAAAACTAAAAAAAAAAAAAACAATACAAGCAGAAAATATAAATTTTAAAGTTTTTATATGATTTGCTACCAAACACAACTTTTGGGAGCAAAAAATATCTTTTTGCAGCTAAAATATGAATTTGGTAGCAAAATCTTATTTTCTGCTACTAAAATTTGGTAGCAAAAAAATTAATTTTTCGCGACCAAATTTTGGTGGCAGAAAGTTATATTTTGCTTCTAACACTTGGTAGCAAATTTTATATGTTTTGCTACCAAAAATAATTTGGTAGCAAATAATTCGGGCAGGAAAAAATTTTGCTTCCCGCCAACATTTTGTTACCGAAACATGTTTGGTAGCAAAACAGTAATATTTTACTACCAAATTTTAGTGGCAGAATCTTATGCTTTTATTATCAAATATTATTTTGGTAGTAAAAAACTATTGGCGGGAACCAAATTTTATTTCCCACTATGTTATTTGTTACCAAATTATATTTGGTAGTGGATTGTGTTGTTTTTACTACCAAATTTGGTAACTAAAACCTTGATAATTTTAGCTACTAAAGTTTAGTGGCAAAAAGTGTGTTTTTTGCTACCAAAAATATTTTAGTATCAAAAATATTGATATCTTAAAGTGATTATTCTTGTAGTGGAGTAGTAAAAAAAATAGAGATAAATATGTCGTCACATATACAAGCTCATGCATTCAAACCAATGAGTCACAACTCGAATAAAAACAAAAAGGTGTTGAAATTGATATTTGGCAAACCAGAGATTCAAATCATCATAATTTGAATTTGTGATACTTAATTGGATTTTGAGAAAGGCCCGTGTTTTTTGTTTTTTTTTTTTTTTGCAAACGGCTTTGTTCATTTCATAAATTCAAATTTTTAATTTGAGTTAAGATGTGATAGTTTTTAAGAATTTTTAAAATTGTAGTAGAAAATTTTAAATGTGACATTTTTAGATAGCTTTTAACTATATAAATTTAAAACTGAAAACTCGAATTGATGAATTGTTTGCAAGTCACTAACAAGTAGGGCCTCTCGATAGACAAATGCAACATTTGCATTTCCATTCGCATTTCAAAGTTTCAAACAATGGAAACCGTACTCTCTGCATTGGAGAATAAATGAAAGATTTGTCAAAGCTTAAGCGTAATTAGAATTGATTATTGACTAATTAAGCAGGGTTCTCTCATCTTCCAAGTAGTTTCCTATCTAAAAAGAGCACGAAAAATTTAAGTAGAATATCTTCTATGTAAGTTCCTGTGAAAGTCTTAGGTCAAATTATACTTTTTTTCATTAATCTTGTTGTATTTTATACTGTTGTACTTTATATAAGTCACGATTCTTGCGAGCTGAGATAAAAACTTGATAAAAACCCAAAATTCTATGCAAAAACTTGTTTCATTTTTTCAAATTATAAGGTGACACTATTTACAGCATGACACACTTCAAAAAGTGTCTTCAAAAGCTTAGTCAGTCCGGCGGACCCGAATTCCGCCAAACACAATTATCTTTTAATCGCACAACCGGTGGTCTAACCACTTGGAATTATGATCCGCAAGTAGATTGTTGGAACGTACACGAATGATAGCAACATTAGATCAACCACTTAGTTTTGTAAAGCATCCTAATTGACAACGATATATTAAGGTTGTACATAATCTTAATGCACAGTTCACTTCAAAAACTACTCTTAGGAAAGATTTATTAAAATTATTTTTTAAAAAAAAGAAGCATTAATAAACCTTTTACACTCGACTAGCGGGTGCGTTGCGTTAACGCGGATATTTAGTCTGCCGTTGCCAATAAAGATTATTTAGCTGTAACATGCCATTACTTTAAAGGATTCAATTTAAATAAGAGAATATTATGTTTTAAATGTGTTCTAGGATCACATAGCACAGATTTAATATATAATATAATTTTAAATGTAATTGATGAATTTAGATTAAGAGATAAAGTAATGGCTATAACATTAGATAATGTTAGTGCCAATACAAAAGCAATTGAGTTCTTTGAAAATGATTAAGTTTATTCGGTGACGGTACTATTTTCTACTAACGTTGTGCATGTCACGTAATTAATTTAATAGTTAAATCCGGTTTAAAAGAAATGGGTACTCACATTAAAAGAATTAGAGATAGTCTTGCATGGATTCAAGGTAGTAACCAAAGACAAAAAGATTGGTTTAGGTTCTTACAAGCATTAAATATACCTCATAGAGCATTAGCGTTAGATATGCCTGTAAGATGGAACTCAACTTATATAATGCTTCAACAATGCATCCTCTATAAAGATGCTATAACAAACTATATGTGTACAAAATTAAGAGTAGGACATATAGACGCATATGATTGGAAAATTGCCGAAGTTTTTTTTTATCAATTTTTAGGTAGGTTTCATGAACTTACTTTCAAACTTAGTAGAACATATTACCTAACATCACCTTTAGCTTTAGGTGAACTTTTAAGAATTAATATTTTATTTAGTGAATATAGGGAAGACCTAATTTTAGGAGTTCCTATCTATTCTATGAAAAAGAAATTTAAAAAATATTAGTCTAAGTTGCCTTTGTTGTATGGTTTAGGTACTATTTTTAATCCTAGATTAAAATTAGACGGTTTAGAAAGTGGTTTAGAAAGTGGTTTAGAAAATTTATGTGAATTTTTAGGCATCAATTGTTCGGA